TCAATTCTTACGTTCTTAATGTTAATACTAATGTTTTTGTCTCGAAACCCGTTTTTTGTTGAACTCAACTAGTACTGTTTTCTTTGGTTCTAATCTAAACCTAACTCAGATAATCTGTTTGCTAGTGTGTCTACTGCTTCTTCTAGTCTATCCATGTTTAAGTTTCTATCTATGTTTGTTGTGTATAACGCTATGTCATCTGCAAATTGTACCGAGTTGATACCTACATTCAAATTTTTAGTTATGTCGTTTGTATATAGAGCGTATAAGATCGGGCCCCTTGCGGTAATCCCCCTGTACTCTCCTATGAATCGATTCTTGGCTATTCACTATAAACTCTGTATCTCTAAAGTATAACCAATTCCCTATGAAATTTCTAATAACCACTGGGCACTTCAAAGCTTTTAATTTCTCCATCAGTATACTATAATTGACGTTATCGTAAGCTAAAGTTACATCTAAGAAGGCCGACAGTGTAAATTGACCTTGTAATAGTCCTGTTTTTATATTCGTCGTAATTTTGGTCAAGTTTTCCGCACAAGACCTACCTCGTCTGAAGCCGTTTTGATCTCCCGCCAGTTTACCTTCGTGTTCCGCCCACCAGACCAATCGTTCGTTGACTAATCTTTCCATGAGTTTTCCTATGCATGATGATAATGCTATGGGCCGGACTTTTTCTTTTCCTGGTTTGTCGATAAATACCACTTGATATTTTCTCCATGCCTCTGGGATTTTTCCTGTAAACCAAACTTCGTTATACATGTTTAAGAGAATATTATTCATTTCTTCCGTGAGATTCTTCAGCATGTTGTATTCTATTCCATCTCTTCCTGGTGCTGAATTTCGTCTTATCATGTTTAAAGCTCTTGTTAGCTCTTCATATTCAAACTTTCTATTTAGTTGTGTATCTTGTTTTTCCTCTTGAGCGTATCTTCCTTTCTTCTCTTCTAAGACAGATGGTGGTGCTAATATATTGATATCCTTGCTAATTTCCTCTTCTCTATTCTTATTTATCCACTTGTTCCACTGTATGTTTTTCCTTATATTCTTATAAACTCGCATTTTGTTCCATACATATGTCAGGTTCGAGAATCTGTTAATCGATGCACAGAATCTGTCAAAACTTTCTCTTTTTTTCTATTGATCGTTTTGAGTGCAATTGCTCTATATTTTTAAATTCGACGAATGAATGTAGACTTTTTTCCTTGATGAATTTGGCCAGAGCTGTTTTTCTTTGTTCTATTGCCTCTTTACATTCTTGGTCCCACCATTCTTTAGGTTGTCCTCTGTTTTTTGTATTGTCATTGTGTTCATTGAATCCTTCGTTTTCTATGTCCATATTATCTGGGTTTTTGCCCGAGATCTTAAATGTAGCTTTTTTGAGTATGGTTTCAAATATTTTAAATTTATCTGTTATTTTGATTTCGTTGCTTGACATTTTTCTATGGCCTCTGGTTCTTTCTCTGCATATTCACGAAGTGTTCCTGTAAAGTATTTCCACTTGGTTCTTTTTGTGGAGACCCTATTTGATCTTTTTTTATATCTGATAATTCTTGTTCTTATTCTACCCACTATCGGGAAATGATCTGAATTCCATGTGTCTTGTACTTGAGAAAATTCCATTATATTTATTAATTCTGTAGTGCAGAAGAAGAGATCTATGTTCGATGATGTTTGGCCTGGGTTTCCAAGCCTTGATAGCGTATCGTAATTTCCGCACATAAGCTCGTGTTCGTCCATCGCTTCGGAAAGGTGGTCTCCATTAATGTCTGTATCTAGGCAATTCCAGCTCGTATTGTGTGAATTAAAATCACCTGTAATCATGATCTCTAGGTTATTTGTCTCAAAGTCTAAAATTCTTTCCCATTCTCTTTTATTAACATTTTGATTCGGCCTTCTGTACACTCCTAGTAAATTGAAGTTTTTTTCCAGATTCTTTGTTCTTATACCAACAATGTCGACTTGGGTTCCTATGTTGTTCCAATAGTTTAATGTTTCGAATTCTATTTCATTTTTATTGCAATGGCAACGCCTCCACTATTTCCTATACTTTCTTTTGTTACTATTTTATATCCTGGTAAATAGATCCCATTTATTGTATTGATTTTCGTTTCTGTTAAGATTATAATATCGTATATGTTAATCCTTTCTTTTATTTCGTTTTTCTTGTTTTTATATCCTCTACAATTCCACAACAGTATATCAGTGTTCGTGTGATTCATTTTATGAATATATTTTTTTTTCCAAATGTTTTTTTTGTGTTTATACAGATGTTTCTTTAATTTCCTCTTCGCTCTTTTCTCATCTTGCCAGTGCTTCCTTTTCATGCAGATATGTCACCTGTCAGAGTTAGATTTGACGTTTCACGCCGATGACACTTCACATAGCAGAAGACCATTGTTTACATCCTCCTCGCATCTACTATTGTTTCTACTTAAATATATAAAAATGACTAATTAAAACTGTTTGCTATTAGATGACATTATTTATATCGCGAAGGAAGCACGAAGGCGTTTAAAAGTTGGAGGCATTTGACAGTTCAAATGGCGGCTTCTACCTTTGAACAATAGCTCGTCGATCGCGTGAATTAAAACCTGCTTTCTCATTAAATATTCTCTTCATTAATGCATATCTCTTCGCAAAATATTTATTATATATAAACATTTTCTAATGAGTAACAAAAAAAATATATATATATATTTTTTTTTATATATACTAATACAAATCTTTATTATCGATCAAAGATTCATCTCAACGAATTTTAGATTACAGATATTAATTATTTATTAGATTAATTAAATGATTAGTGTATCACGGATTTTATAGTTAATTATATATATATATAACTATATAGAAAAAAATGTTTCAGACAAAGATTGTATGATTTCGAGGAGAACATACGGTGATGCCATTAGTTTGACCTTGAATAGTTGCTTGAAGGTCACGTAAAGGTCACCTTGAGGTGAAGAGATTTTGTCTTATAACTCAAAAAGTACTTGAGATAAAAATGTTTCATTATAATGTTTTGGAAAGCTCTCGATGTCAGCTACAATAAGAATATGTAATAAAAGTAGGTGGTTCCATTTAAGAAATTAAAGGTGACCTTCACATAACCCTCAAGCAACTATTCAAGGTCAAACTAATGGCACCACCTTATGTCCTCCTCGAAACCATACAACTTTTGTCTGAAACATTTTTTCTACAATCAAAAATAAACTTATTTGGGGTGGGACATTAAAATGGGACACCCTGCATGTATAAACTTTTTTCGCGATCGATATAGAAATAAAATTATTTTCTATTATAAAATGATTAATTAAATATATAATTATACAATTATATAATTACATATATATATATTTGTGACTATAATATATATGTATTTTTATTTATATAATCGAATAATAAGAATCCAATTAATATATATAAAGTGACATAAATACAAATTGAAAATTATAATTTCGTGGAAATACCTTTCAGAACAATAAATAAGATTAATAATAATGATAAACATATTAATGAATAGATTTTTCTCGGAGATTTCGCCAGGAAATGAAATGGATTCTGGAGCTGAAATTATAAATTTAAAACAGTAAACAGATAAATGAAAATCATATAAAATGCATGGAAATGAAATACTTAAAATTGTAAAAAGAAAGCTCGTCTATCATCATTGCTAATTAAATATTCATTGAACAATATTTGATAAATATTAAATAATATATTACAATAAAACTAGACACACAATAATATCCTGAATTCTAATTTCCATAAATATTTGATTACAAATGTTTACTCTCTTATTATATTGAATTTTGGAACATAAATAATCGTACAAGATATTTTTAATTATAATAGAAATTAAAAAATATGCTTTAATTGTAAATATTTTAGAAAGATGCAGTATACTAAAAAAGAAAACGCATTTTTAGACTCAGAGTTATTTATTAACACAGTATGCTTACAGCATTATTAATTTTAAACTAACGAGGGAAGGAATTTATTCATAATTTGGCATTGGGAAACTGATCTTATTGTTAGTTATACGCTTTCTCATCAAATCGGAAAGCATTTATTAGGGTGATGTTGCAACGTGCTCAATATCGGGTGTCAAAGATTTGGAAGATCGCGCCAATTTGGTGCAATCTATTTTTTTTTCTCGATATTTTCAACAATATTCTACTTTAAAACGACTATAATGACGATGTTGATAGTGATAAAAAGTATGAAGTTGAAAGGCAGCGAGGCAAATGCTCAAATCATGTCTTCTTTTCTTATCGCGTTCAATAATAATCTGTTATTTTGTTGAAAAGTGACGATATGTATATATACATACATATATATATAATATATATACACATATATGTATACACATATATTGTAGTAAAAGTTTCGGAATCTTTCTAATCAGTCTTTTTCTTTTTGTCCTCGCAAGATTATCACAGAATTCGGATTTATACTTGAATGAGCAGCCAGTTGTAGAAATTGACGCGATCTTGTTCACGTTTTACTTGCTAATACTTGACATTGCTAAGCCGATCTTGTTTACATTTGTACATTCGAGAAGTTGAAAAAGTCATTTTTACGAATGAAAATTCCGTATTTTCATACAAGAGCGTTATTTTATATCATTGAGTGCGAGAGATGGAAAAGACTAGAATATTAGTATCGATTATCTATGTGTATAGCTTGTGTCTATGTGTATTGATATCAAAAAAAGCATGGAAATATTCTCTTCGTGTTTTTGTTTTTCTGTAAACAAGATGTATTGTCAAGAAGCTACGAATATTGTCCGCCGACAACTTCAACAATTACATGTTTTGCTTTCTTCCCTTCCTTTCCTAATCAATTGTTATTATGCAAAGTCAATGAAACGGAGTGTTCAACATTTAATCCTCTTTGCAACGTTCATAAATTCATTATTAACAGTACAATGAATTTTCAATGAATATAGTCAATTGACAATACGATTAGCAAACATAATAAAGTTGAAAACGTAATTTTGATCGTGCAATACATGTAAAAATTTATTAACAGTTTTTGCGCGCGAAAGATTTCCATTCGCAAAATTCCGAAGAAGACGAAGAACTTTGTACATAGAACATTTTTAGACCGATCGCATATCGTGTCAATAAATCTTATATAATTTTCAATTAATGTATCTCTCTTGCTCGTACAGTACTGAGAAATCCTTTGATTATCGATTAAACGTGTTAAAATTTTCGATATTCAAGAGAAAAGAGAAAGGAGATAAGACTTAAAGAGGTGAAGATAAAACTTAAATATATTAAACACTCCTCCTATACAGATGCGTTACTTAATAACGGGAAATTATCGTTAAATTAATCAATGAACGCCGTTGCTTCGCTTACAGCTGGCTGACGTTTTATGTACACGATTGATTAGTTTGTCATACAATTCCACAGCTCTTGGATTTTCGATCTTTCTACGTATGTATATATATAAAATCATTATTTCGTTTCTCCCTCGCGCGCGAACATTTACTCATCAATGGCAGTAAATAAGGCATGCGCGTTCTTGTATTTTATTTTATTTTATTTTTTTTTTGCTTTTCGCGTATGTATCTTATTTTGTTAGTTTACCTATGTTTATTCTCATAACGCATTATTACGACGCTTAGATCTCTATCGTCTAGATCTCGTCGCGGAAAACGAGAAACGAATTAATGATGGATATATTTAATTATGGTGGATTATTTATTTTAATTGTTTATTTTTTTTTTATTTTTTTTAGTGAAAATGCGAACAACTTTGAGTCAAAATTTCAACATACAATAAGCAAAACTACTTTTCATGAATGATTACCAGTAGGTCGTATTATAATGATGAACATGATTTATGTCGAGTCTTATTTCACTTCTACATTCACAAACTTCACGTGTTTCCGATAATAAAAATCATTAGACATCAACATGCACCTAACATCGATAGAGATTGCTTATCGTTTCCGCTTATGCGCTCTAACTCTTTTTTTTTGTTACACACGATATAATTTATATTTCGAACGTTTTATTATGTTTAATATTTACAATATTTCTCTCGAGAATCGATGATAATAATGGTACTCGCTGACAATATAATGACGCTGTTAAAATTCTCTCGATAAATGTGTATCATGTATTCGCGTGATTTACAATTCTTTTTTTTTCTTCAGCTTGTTATACTTATTAACATCTATATATAATATATAATATGTGTAAAACTAAGCAAAATGTAATAATTATCTACACACAATTCTATCGTTCAATCGCGCATCGCTTGAATTATAAATACAGTATGAAAAGTGTCCATTATTTTCCTTTTCTTTTTATTAATAAATAAATACTATACACGCGTTTTATACGGGAGGGAAAAAGGGTAGAGTAAACTTTTTTCTTTTTATACGCCAAATAATCTGGATTGGATCCTGCCCAATCTTTGTTTAAATTGATGTCCTCGGGTTTTTTTATGTTTCTGGACTTGACTTTATCCGCCCTTAAATTATCTCATTCTTTAGCACGCTTCGTGATTGTATGTATAAAACGACATACTACTCTATTGTGTATCCTAATAGAATTCTCGCGTGTATGTGTGTGTGTGTGGGGCAGTCTTGCTGCTTGCATTAAGTGCGTTGCTTCTTCCGTTTTGAAAACCACGGAGAAAATATGTACGAGAGACCCCGAATGGAGGAAAAAACGATTTTACATCAATATGAACGAATTTGCGAATGTAATTATTGCTATTTAAAATTGTCGTCGTCGTGGCCTTTGTTTAAAGAAAAGAAACACAAAGCGTACTAGAACGGGTATACAAAGATGTATCTCCTATTTTACATTACTGGAAGAATGCACACACATTATACTTCCGTAGTGCGACTGTACGGGCCAGATTCTTCAGATTGCGATAGCTTTCGTTCTCGTTTGGCGAAGAGGCCTCCTAAAAAAGACGGCTGCTGAGCCAGTCCTTTACCACCGGGACCTGGAATCGTAGCTCCTGAGTGCATAGGATGAACTTGTCCGGGATGCTTGATGCCTTGGCTCATCGAGCTGGCGGAAGTAGATTGAAACGAAATAGACATACCGCTATCTAGAGAACCCACGCTTCCACGACGCTGCGGTTTCTCACCAGCAACTAGACGCAAAAAGAGACATATTATATACATGTTATATTATTTGTGAAGATCAGAGTTGGCAGAAAACTTGTTTAATTCCAAAAGAAAACTTATTTAATTTTTATTCAATTTATAAAAGTAAGAATTAAAGAAATACTCAATATGCAATGACTGCAATTCCAATATGTTATTGTTCATTTAATATTTGATAATATTAAATATTCCAAAATTTAATAATAGACTTTTATACGTTAAACATGAACTTTAGACTTTTGTGATTTTAATTTATTTTGCTTTGTGTACTGCGCTGAAGAAGATCCGAAAAATTGGATCGAAACGTTCGCTTTTTCATTTGTTTTAACTTTCGAGTTTATTTTTATAATTTTATATTAATTTAAACTTTATTGTTTCTATCAGTACATATTGATTAAATGTAATAAATTAGTTTTTTTTTATAACCGTAATATTACTTCTGCTCTTATTAGCCTTTTATATGTGTAATACTTTATTTGAATTAAAGAGCATTTAATTATAGTATATTGTTTAATAATAGAATTATTAAAGATTTAATAATAAAATTAAAAATTTAATAATAAAATTTAATCATATTAAATATTCTGTTAAAATAATACTTACCTTATTACTTTTATTATTATAAACTACTGTTTAAAACTGTTTAAAACAGTGTCCACTGTTTTAAACGAGTTTTAATCAAACAGTTTTGAACAAATTGTTTAAAACATGCCAACCCTGGCCAAAATGTAATGATACTTTTACTCACACTGCTCATGTATGTCCAGAAGGGAATTGCTGAGGGCGGAACGTTTCAACTGCGTGTCGACGTCGACCGTCTCCGCTCTGTCGGAACAAGCGCCCGGGCAAGGGCATATCTCTACGTCGGCGACACCGGAGTCTCTATTTTCCGCGCCGCCTCGCGCGCCCCTGCTGCTCTTCTGTCTCTCCAATTCAGTCTCGATACGCAAAGTTTCCATCTCGTCCATTTCGCTGATGGACTCCCTGAGGTCTTCCACGAATTTACATCTGTCGTGCTCGTTTCGAGCGTTGAATGTGACTAGAACCTTTCCGTCAACGCGCTGAGAGAGTCTTATGCCGTATGGATAATCTGCAAGAAACGGACAATGTATCAAGTTATGCGCGACAAGTATTCTTTGTATATTTAACCCTCGGTTACCTCTCTGGGTTACGTTAACCCATATTAAAAATTTAAACGTGTGTTATTTTGGAAATTTTAGAAGATCACTTTTCATTTTTTCTCAAATATTTCGAGTCGTAGAAATCTGGTGACATTTGTACCGATATGTTCTTTTCTCTTACTGTCTGGCGTATCGATTGAAAAAAAATACTTCAAAATAGCTTCTTTAGATCCAGAAATATAAACAAAAAAGACTCTGGGTTACTCTAACCCATGAGTGGTAAAATAGGATGGTCAAAAATGAGTGGTAACTGAGGGTTAAGTATATTTGATCGTGGAAACACTTACGAGGAACCTCGAATAGAGTAACCACCATGCCGCAAAGTGAAAAGCTCTGCCTAAAGGTGTAAGTTACGCTGTTCTTTTTCTTGCTCAAAATTTTCGTGACGACGAGCAGATCGTTGAAGAGGAAAACTTCTCTCTGATGAACGCCGGGTCTCTCTTTCTTGTGAATGTCCGGTATCTCGTAGAGTCTGCAGTAACATACCAATCTTCTGTGCGGTAGCGCCATGTTTGGCTTCTTTCCAACGATGGTCGCTTGAACCTTCATCACTTGGGACACGTGGTCGGAGCCCGGCTTGAATTCGTTATCCTTCACCCGTTCGTAAATGCCAACCAGAATATCTTTATCTATGTCGCCGCAATCATCGATTCCTCGAAGATTTTTGATGAAATCTTCGAGTCTCATTCTGCGCTCCGGTTTCAAATTGGGTGTATGCAAATCTGTGTTAAGCATGATGATGGCAAAGGCCAGGACGAAAACAGTATCAGCTGACCGCAACCTTGATATTACATCGGGATTGCACTGGCAATAACGTTGACTGAAGACCTCCATCAACCGTTCGATCTTCTGCGCCTCGCCGGGCATTCTAAAATAGGCTTGAAACTTTCGTAAAGCTACATCTACTTGCATTCCAGAAAGATCCAGCTCCTGGGAGAAACATCTGCAAATTGTGAGTGAAATTAGAATTTAATATATCATAAAGGTATCAAAAAAATATTAATTAAAATTCAATTCAAATATATCTCAAGTAAATATCAATATATATTGAAACCACTTACTCGAGTACCGCCATATTGAAAGTATTCTGCAAGTTCCCGAGATACTCTCCTATCATCTGTTTGGATAAGCCTTTTCGGCTGATCAGGAATCTGGCGACCCCCTGCGGACTGTTCTCCAAAAATCCGCGTCTGATGAGGTAGCTAATTCCCCTCTCCGGCTTCTTGTTGAAGAGATTCAGGCCGACCCTGTACTGTCGCTTTCTCACCGTCTCGGACACCTTGTAACTCGTTTGGGTCGGCAGATTCTCCGTATGGTCCATCAGAGGAAGCTGGTAACCGGAACTGGCGTGCGAGTGGCCCAGCTCCTTAACGTTGGCAGCCATCGCCGTCGCGTCCGTAGTATGGCTCGCGCATTCCTGATGCTCCGGCGAACTCGACTGATTTCACAATGAAAAAACACGGGCTCCGTTAACGACGCTTTTCGCTCACGTCCTCAAAAAATCAGCGCTACCTCGCGGAGGAAGAGAGCAAGAGAGAAGAAAATCAGATGTACTCACGATTCCTTTGTGCTTCCAGACGGGTGAGCCTCTCTGAGCGTCACCTTCCGAGCTCTCGCAGTTGGTGGAATCGCTGCCGGAGCTCTGCACCGAGCTCAGACTTCCGTTCTCCACGCTTTTACTGAGACCATTGTGACGCGGTTCCATGGATCTGGAGCTGATGGAGGACGTTCTCTTCGGCACCTCCGGCGGAACCTTCTTGCCAGAACCTCCTCCTCCTCTCGACGTTCTACTAGGACCAAGCTGATTGGCGTTGTTCCAACTCTGCGATATCATCGTCAGATTGTGCGGCGCCGACGGTGACGTACACGGCGTCCGCAGCAGATCTCGCGGCGGCGTCTCCTGTCTCAGTCCACACAAGGCCTCCTGCGTAAATAAAGCGACAAACTTTGAACCGTCGACGCAAATTACAGCCGTTAACTTGACCAGAACGCTTCGTAACTCTCGGCACTCACCTGTGGATTGTAGTAATGGATACTGGAACCGCTCTCCTGGGAGCTCGACTCCCAACAGGGACTCGGAGGTAATTGCTGATGCCGGTTGCACGGGCTGGGCGCCAACGAAGGCGTGTGCCTGCCGCCGCTCTGATGCAAGCTATGGTTCGTGTGCTGATGCCCGGTGACCTGAACCTCGCATCTGCCGCTCTGGCTCCTCGGTATCGGCGATTGGGAATTGTCCACGTGCCGCCTCTCCCTCAGAGACATGCTGCGGATCGGCATCGGCCTGTTCAGATTCAGCGATCGATTTAGTCGCGGTGAACTTGACATATTGTGCATATGTGTGTATATGTGTGTACCTGTTGGCGGACTGCGCCTGCTGAATGTATATCTGACTGTGGTAAACCATTCTCTCATGATCGTTGAGATTGCCCGAACGATCTGTCGTCACCTCCTGAAGCTTCCTGCTCAGTCGCTTCTCCGCCTTGGCCATCGCCGTGATCGCCGCGAACTTCTTCAGCAACGTGTACCTTCGGAAGGCGCGCTGGATCGTCAACGCGGCGTTCCTCGCCTTCACGCCGCCGTATTTCCGCTCCAACATCTCGATCTGCTTGTCGAGCAGGTCCTGTGACAACTCGTACCTGCAAATTCCAAAATTCATTCTTAACTATGTGCAATGTTTGCTGTTATCTAAATAAAATTATATAGATGATCATCTAGATGAGAGAGAGAGAGAGAAACTTTGACATCATCGTATCTTTATAAATAATAAAATATATCGTTATCTATATCTGAATCTTGGATGAATAAAGTATTATCTTTACTAAATTATTTAGAATAATTTTCAGATAAATTTGGTTTATAATCATAACACGTAAAAATACTTACAATTAAATAGTAAAACTTAAGTAGTAAGCCATAAAAAATTATAAATAAAAATATGAATACATTTTATATTCCTTTTATAATTTATATTTTTTTTAATAACTGCACTTACTTAAACTGAATTTTTTTAATAACTGCAACTAAGAGAAGTTTCTCTTAAAGTTTATCCTAAAAATCATGGTAATCGTGGGACAATATGGTATTGGAAGAATTTTATGAGTTTCTCTAATTAATATTTACCACACTAAAAATATTAATATCTACCACAATAAGATATAAAATATGTTCAATTAATTTTACTATACACATAGTAAAATTTATTAATAGAGATATTTATATTTTTATTGTGGAAAATATTAATCAGAGAAATTCTTATAAAATTCTTCCAATATCGTATTATCCCACAATTAGCATGATTTTCAGGATAAATTCTAAGAGAAAATTCTCTCTGTGTGTGTTTACATTAGCAGTCTTAAAAATGATTATCTAAAAATGATCTAGATGAATCGCCAAATATAATTTTATCTTTCATCTACAATAGATACATTTAAAACAAAATCTATGCTAAATTTACATATTTTTATCTCATCTTGTAGCTAATTTTAAAATCATCTAAGCACAACACTGACTTATATGCGTTCTCCATCCATTAGAATCTCTCGAAAAACTGATTCCTAATTTTTGTTCTCGCGAGAGTACAAGATGACGACTTACGCGGTCTGCAGTCGGCATCGTTTGAGGACGTCGCCGTTGCGGACCGAGCCCTTCTTCAGGATCTGACTCTGCTGGTACGCAGCGGACTGCGGTTGTCCGCCGAAGCCCTGCACCACGGTACCGTAGCTCTGCGGCTGCGAGTAGTTGCTCGAGCCGTGCGAAGGATACATCTGCACGTTCGCGGAGGGATACGGAGACGCGCCGTAATTCTGGTTCTGCATATAAGACTGGCCGGTGATGTACGACGTCGTCGACAAGGACGTCTGGCTACCGGATGAGTAGGCGCCGTGCATGCTGCTGCCGTGATGGACCTGATTTGAATTGCTGTGCACCAGGGGCCTCTCCACCTTCGTCGGGAAGCTGGACATTCAAAGAGAAATTACATCATTTAGATATTTGCTTTTATTATTTATTTTTAGTATTTTAGAATAATATACGAATATGTAATCTGCACAGAGAAAATTTTCTTTTAGAAATTGGAAGAATTTTATGAGTTTCTCTGATTAATATCTTTACTACAATAATACATATTAATATATATATATCAATAAGATATAAAAATATGTTCAATTAATTTTACTATACACATATTAAAACTTTTTATTGTAAAAGATATAAATTCTTCCAATCTTTCAGGGTAAATTTTAAGAGAAAATTCTCTTTGTGTATGCATGTATATAATAATAATAATATATAATAATAATAATATTATACATAATAAAATAATAACATTATATATAATAAAATAATATTATATATAATAAAGTATTTAATAATAATAATATCATTATATTTTTAAATATTGTATTTTTCAGGCAATTGAATTATCTTGCAATGTGCTAAAGATATTATTAAAAGCAACAAAAATTATTGAAGATACATGAATTTCTAATGATTAAAAAATCTGATCAACTCTATTAAATTTTTTTTTAGAATAAAACAGTTTCAGATTTTTAACTTAATTTTTCGTGTATAGAATTTTTTCACCGTAATATACCACAAGTTAAACTCCTTACAACTCCCTACATAAAAAGGCAGGTGTAAAGCAACCTTCGTAAAGCAGTCGTAAGAAGATAATTGCGTTAAAGACGTTATTAAAAACAATGTGTTAAAAAAAGACGTTATTAAAGACAACAATAAAAATGATCGAAGATCGAATTTTAATGGTAAAACATCTGATCATTTCTTTAAATTTTTATTCTTTTCGAGAAGAGTGTCAGATTTGTATAACTTAATTTTTCGTGTTATATAATTATTTTTCACCATAACATCATAAGTTTAAACTCCTGCGTGAAAAAGCACAGACGCAACCTGCGTAAAGTCGTAAGATTGTAAGAGAAGATAATTATCCTAAAAACATTATTAAAGACAACAAAAGTCATCGAAGCTTGAACTTTGACGATTAAAAAATCTGGTCGACTATTAAATTTTTATTTTTTCAAGAATAAAAAATTGCAAATTCTCAGCTCAATTTTTCGTATATAGATATATTTTTCAAATGTACCACAAGTTTAAAAAATCCACAAAAATGCGCAAACACGTAGAGCAACCTAAGATACTAAAAAAAAAAACATTGTTAAAGACAGCAGAAGTCATCGAAGCTCGAACTTTGACAATTTAAAATTCTGGTCGACTATTAAATTTTTATTTCTTTCAAGAATAAAAAAAATTGTAGATTCTTAACTCAATTTTTCGTATATACACTGAAAAAAATTAGTTAATTCTCGTATAAGTATTTATTTTAATACTGTCAAATAAATCATTAATTCGAAAGTAATAAATGTATTTGATGAAAAATCTTTATTTGATATAAGAAAATCCTTTTCAAAGCAAATAAATAATTATTTGTTTCAAATAAATGATCTATTTGAAATTTTTTTTCAGTGTAGAATTTTTTTTGAAATGTCCAACAGGTTTAAACAACCCATAAGAGTGCGCAGACACGTAAAGCAACCTGCGTAAAATATTTATTTCAATATTGCATTGAGAAAAAAATTTAGTTAATTCCTATAAGTATGTATTTCAATACTGTCAAATAAATCATTTATTAACTAATAATATTAATTTGAAACTAATAATATTTAATATGAAAAATATTTATTTGATATAAGAAAATCCTTTTCAAAACAAATAAATCATTTATTAACTAATAATATTTATTTGATATGAAAAATCTTTATTTGATATAAAAAATCCTTTTCAAAGCAAATAAATATTTATTTGTTTCAAATAAATGATTGATTTGAAATTTTTTGTTCAGTGTAGAATTTTTTTCAGTGTACCACAAGTTTAAACAACCCATAAGAGTGCGCAGACACGTAAAGCAACTTGCGTAAAGACTATATAAAGAGAGATAATTGAAATAAGATAACGATAATATATATCGCATAGAGCATTCCCTGCCAGGTGTCTCTAATTATATTATTAGATAGACGCGTGCAGGAGGTTTTACGGTGCCGGATCACGAAGATAAAAAGAACTCACCCCCTGAAACGGGGAACGCAAACGATCATGTTGCTTCCCGAGGAACTCGGTCGATTTTCCACGTGTATCGAATTTAAATGCGGTTGCGTGCGCGATATTCGCGTCCTCGATGTGTACACAACGGTACGGAAGACTCACTCTCTCGCTCGCACAATTACACAATTTACAACGCGGAACAACCCGTTTCTTCGCTCTCCAGCCGCGGACTCGATCATCCGATCTGCCTGATGATGATCCGACCACCGCGAAAGCCGAGGACGAACTGAATCCGGAGAACATCGGCAGCTGGCCAGCTGCTGGTGGTTCTTGGCTTTATTTTTCGGGCAAGAAATCTCGAAGGGATCACGAAGACGAAGGGCACGAGTCCTTCCCCTTCCGCGAAATAAAGGTGCGTGTATACGGACTCTTATGTATCCGTCGTTGTGCATCTGGCAGGTGCACAACGACGGTGCTCGACCGTGACACTCAACCTTTCCTATGCAAAGAGACTTCTTACGCAATACTAGTCAATTAAATGACTTATGTAAGAATCTGCATATATATATAATGTAAACGTGCAATGTTGTATGACAAATGTACACGTGAGGATGTGAGCCGAGTTGAACATTGAGAGAATTTTCGCGCAAAATTTTTACCCTAAAAATCATGGTAATTATGGTATTGGGAGAATTTTGTGAGAGTTCTTCTGATTAAATATTTGCCACAATAAAAATATTAATTAATATGTATATACTGAAAAAAATTTAATGAATTCAAATTAATAGTTGTTTCAATATTGCCTTATAAATCATTTATTTGAAACTAATAATATTGATTTGATATGTGAAAAAATATTGATTTTATATAAGAAAATCATGGGACAATTATGGTATTGGGAGAATTTTATGGGAGTTCTTCTGATTAAATATTTGCCACAATAAAAATATTAATTAATATGTATATACTGAAAAAAATTTAATGAATTCAAATTAATAGTTGTTTCAATATTGCCTTATAAATCATTTATTTGAAACTAATAATATTGATTTGATATGTGAAAAATATTGATTTTATATAAGAAAATCATGGGACAATTATAGTATTGGGAGAATTTTATAAGAGTTCCTCTGATTAAATATTTGCCACAATAAAAAATATTAATATGTATACTGAAAAAAATTTAATGAATTCAAATAAATAGTTATTTCAAATTGCCTTATAAATCATTTATTTGAAACTAATAATATTGATTTGATATGTGAAAAAATATTGATTTTATATAAGAAAATCATGGGACAATTATAGTATTGGGAGAATTTTATAAGAGTTCCTCCGATTAAATATTTGCCAGAATAAAAAATATTAATATGTATACTGAAAAAAATTTATTGAATTCAAATAAATAGTTATTTCAAAATTGCCTTATAAATTATTTATTTGAAACTAATAATATTGATTTGATATGTGAAAAAATATTGATTTTATATAAAAAAATTCTTTTCAAAACAGGTAAATATTTGTTTCAAATCAATGATTTATAAGGCAATATAGTGAAATAAATATTTATTAATTTAATATTTTTTTCCACTGTATACATATTAAAATTAATCAAACATATTTATATCTTATTATTAAATATTAATCAGAGAAGCTCTAATAAAATTTTTCCAATATACTATATTGTCTCGTGATTTTCAGGGTAAATTCTAAGAGAAAATTATGTGCAGGATTTCTGCAGTAAAGAGTTCCAGATCTAAATAATGACACAAGATATCTCTCTCCTGCCTTCGAATTCGAAAAAGAGAAATAATGATAAAAAATGAGTATAATTAATAAAATTTGTATTAGTGGACTGGACAATTTTTTTTCTGGAATAGACGGTCGAGAAATCGATGGTTCCGCTATAAAATGCATCGCTCTCGTGAGCGAGGTATATTTTTCTGCCGTAATCAGTGCGTGTACCATTAAACGTTATACGATAATGTGGATAAACCATATAAACGCGATGTCTTCGGCTAACAGACATATAGTCAAATAAGGCGTCTGATGTGTAAAGGCAGTTTTCAAATTAGAATTAAATTTCGAAGCTTAGAAACCATGTAGAGAGAGAGGATGTTCGACATGATAAAATTGCGAATGAAATGATTTTCATTATTTTCATCACGAATTATCAATATTTTCTCGCACGAAAATGGAAATTGTGTGCCCCAGATACAAAGTAAATTATATTAAGAAAATGTGACACGTCACATCTTCTCCTCGAAGGAGAAACATATTCTACAACGTATGAAGAAAATATTTTCAGATATCTCCAATTGAAACCGTATTCGATATATCGAATATCTTTTAATAAAAATATATATCACGTTCATAGATGAACATATGATAAATAATATACATATTAAATTAAATAATTCAATAATGAATAAATTAATTTCAGAATATCTTGGATTGAAATCATATCTAATTTTACAAAATTAATCCAACAATTTCGATTTCAAATTAAAAAAATTTCTTTTTTCCTATAACGTATTCAAGATAAATATATATATTATATAAAAAGTATAATATAAAAAAATTATAAAATATATTATATATATTATAAAAAATATATTATAAAAATATATTATAAAAAAATTATAAAAAATATATTATATAAAAAAAAATAACGTTTTAGATAAACATATGATATTTTCAGTAAATGATGCTTTTACAAAAATGAAAGTGTCTCTCCTCGAGGGATGAGAACACCAGGCCCCGCAGGATGCAGGCGCTTCGGAGCAGACGCTGAAAGTCTTTGCCTGGATATAAGGATAAATAAACGCGAGGAGAGAGCGCAATGTGGCATTAGAGCCCAAAAGGAAGGAACATCTGCTCCTCCATCATCGGACTCGCGTGCCACGATGCGCGCGTGCTATCAGGCCCTCTCTCTCCACGTTAATATCGCATACGGAACACTGCCTGCTTCTGCCGACACGCACCTGGCTCGATGCTTTTTTCTTTGGGGAAGATACCTTAGGCTGCCAAATGCACGGCTTCTTTCTGCCCCCTTTCGAGGTGCTTCGAGCCACAGCCTGTCCCGCGTGTTCATTATTTAAGTTCGATCCGCCGAGAGACCACATGTCTTGGAAAAAAAAGATTGATCCAAAAAATTCTTTCCTTATTACATTCTTTCTACACATTAAAAAAAATTATTAAATTAATAAATATTTGTTTCAATATTGCACTGAGAAAAAATTTAGTTAATTCCTACAAGTATGTATTTCAATACTGTCAAATAAATCATTTATTAACTAATAATATTAATTTGAAACTAATAATATTTATTTAATATGAAAAATATTGATTTGATATAAGCAAATCCTTTTCAAAACAAATAAATGATTCATTTGACAGTATTATAGGTATGTATTTTAATACTGTCAAATAAATCATTTATTAATTAATTATATTTATTTGAAACTAATAATATTTATTTGATATGAAAATATTTATTTGATATAAGAAAATTCTGTTCAAAACAATAAATGATTCATTTGACAGTATTGAACTAAATGTATTAATTTAACACATTTCTTTTCAGTGTGCCAATTCGATCATTTATTTGAAACAAATAAATATTTATCTGTTGAAAAGAATTTTCTTATATCAAATAAATATTTTTCACGCCAAATCAATATTATTAACTTCAAATAAATGATTTATTAGGCAGTATTGAAATAAATATTTATTCGAGTTCAATAAATTTTTTTTCAATGTACTTTACTTTTACAGTGATAAAATGGAAGATAAAAAGTGCAAGTGCATCTTTCGATCGACTTAGAATATTATTTTAAATGTCCATTAAATTGCATTTGACGTAATTATTGGAGGAGAAGAAGAGAGAAGATGCAGATCAGCAGAATCTCTTTAAATATATTTTTAAATGACAGATTTCGAAAAATATTGAATGACGAAAATGAGAATTGAGAATTAAAGTACATCATTATATATGCGCATATAATAAAATAAAATAATTTTTAAATGACAGATTTCGAAAAACATTGAATGACGAAAATGAGAATTGAGAATTAAAATACGTCTTTATTTATGTACACGTAATAAAATAGAATAATTTCTTTGACATCCCTGACATTTTATTCATTAAATCTTTACAGGGATCTCTATAAATGTGTGAGTCAATGTCAAAATATATCTGTGCATCGCGGCACACATATGTTATCGAAAGTGTACATTAAACGTTATTATCTGATGCAACGATAAGGATAGAACGCATTTACAATTAGTCAGGTTTCCGAATGCGATAGACGCATATAGCGTCTTGTTAACTTCTTAACTGTATGTAACTCGATGTATGTTCAAAGTACATGCAAATGTCCTTTGTCCTCGGAAGAGAAGATTGAATTACCGTGCTGCGATAACTTACGTTCATTATCATTGGCCTAAATGCACACAATGTAAATCATTTGCATATTGCGGATTCTCCCCAGGCAAATGACGCGCTCCCTGTCATATCATGTTGCATATTACCCAGTCCATTTACATGCTGTAATATATTTATTTAATATATAATAAATTTACATATATATAAATTTTTATATATTTTTAACTATGTAAATAGTTTGGTTAATATATACACATAATATAAATTATATAATATATATGTTATTAATATATACCATATAATATATTATATATATATATTATATATTATATTTAATATATATAATTATGTTATAATATAATTATATATTATATAAAATAAAAAATAAATTAATATATAATATGATACGACAGAGAGATGCTAATATAAATGATATATAAAAGAGAAATGAAAATATACTTCGTTAATTTGAATTAATCAATCAACGGAGCTGCACGAGACTTATATAAAGTGATGACAGTTCGATAAAAGCACCGACTCTCGCGATCAATTACGATGTGGAAATCGACTGAGTGACAGCTCACTTCTACGAAGGCTCTCGGAAAGTTGCGTCTTTTAAAGACGTCTCATCTGTGCTCTACTTTTGCGACGCCTCGTCGCAGATGTACACCAGAGATTTGCGCAAGTGGCTATTACATATAATATATAAAGTCGCTTATTCGCGCGTAACGTCTTACGGTATATTGAAGCGATAATAAACTCCCGTGATTCACGCAAAAATTCCCCCGATAAGTTTTTTAACGACATTCACATATTTATATAGCTACAACTTGACAATGGAAGAAATATATCTTCGAAATGTAGCAAGACACTTTTTAATTTTAAAGATTTTACATTATTTATTATGATCCTCTGATCAAGGATAATTTCTACGTCATAAGCAAAAAAGGAACGAAATATATGTATAAAAATAAAAAATGTAAGAAAAAAAATATATATAGATGTAAAGAATGATATACAAGGAAAAAATGTTCCGCCGCTCTAAAAAAAAAAAAATAATAAAAAATATAACAATGTAGGAAAAAAATATATATAGATGTAAAGAATAATATACGAGGAAAAAAAATATTCTGCTGCTCTAAAAAAGAAATAAAAAATAAGATAAGAAAAATAAAAATGTAAGAAAAATATTAGATGTAAAGAGAATGAAATTTTGAGCCCCTCTGGAAAAGAAATAAAAAAAATAAAATAAAATAATGATGCAAGAAAAATAAAATACATAAAAACAAACTAAAAAATGTAAGAAAGATATTAGACGTAAAGAATGATATACATCCGGAAACGAGGAAAAGGAATGTTCCGCCGTTCTAGTATTTCCGTTCTGGGGCTGTAAATAAAGTTTAACGGTACCCCGTTAAAATAAAGTTGTACGTCTTTAACGGCTGAACGCGCGGCTTTTGAGAGCGCAGGGCATCAAAACATGTTCGATATCGGGAAGAAGACACGAAGAAGTCGCGCAAAGTGTGCTAACATGTGTGTACCGTATGGCAAATCGTGTATACGCGCGCGATGTGTTTTGTATCTCGAATTCATTACGGAAATTATTAAAGCACGCTCTCCATTATACATGGTATAGCAGAAAACGGAGAAGGAAGAAGAGCTCGCGCGCCGCGGACTAATTATCATCGAGCAATTAACAACCGTTGATTGCCATTACCAACGTGGGTGATGCGCGTGTATGCCTGCGCGATCCCTCTACTTGAAATAATTTTGCTCTCTATACTGACACGTTCGCGGAGATGTGCGTTTGTGTGTGCGCGAGTTTATCATCGGTTTAGTGTTGGAGAGGAAGAAGCGCGAGATGATGATGCCGCTTTAGAGAAATTACTATGATAATTACACTCGTGCGAATCTCATCGAGATAGCGCCGATAGGGACGTTAGTACCGTTCATGCAGTTTCCTTTTCTTCAGTAGAATTTATGTATTTTATACACGGAGAGAATTTTCTCTTCAAATTTACTCCGAAAATCATGCTAATCGTGCGATAATATATATGTGGTATTGGAAGAATCTTATAAGAGCTTCTCTAATTAATATTTACCACCAAAAAAATATTAATGTATACATAGTAAATTTTACTAAGAATATTTTTCTTACATTGTTTTATTTTATTTTTATGTATATTATTTTTCTCATTATTTTATTTTATTTTTTTCCAGAGCGACGGAGAGACATTTTTTCCTCGTATATCATTCTTTACATCTATATATATATTTTTCTTACATTTATTATTTTTATACATAGTATATTTCGTTCTAAGAGAAAATTCTCTCTGTGTAATTTCATGTACACATTAACATACACAGTTGAAAAATTTCTGTTTTTAACAGATATCACATGTTCCAAACGCTCTGGGAAAAAAAAAAACAATAAAATAAAATAATGTAAGAAAAATAAAATACATAAAAACAAAATGAAAAATGTAAGAGAAATATATATAGATGTAAAAAATGATATACGAAGAAAAAAAATATTCTGCCGCTCTAAAAAAGAAATAAAAAATGTAAGATAAATATTAAAAATCCACGTCCACAGAAATTTTTGTGTTAATTTAACATAATATAATATATTAACGCAAAATGAATGGTAAACTTCAAATAACTTAAAATAAATTTTGTATAAAATTAACATACTTTTAATATAAAAATTAACAAAAAATATGTTAATTTTAGATTTTATCATCCCCACTTATCAATATTTTCTTCCCGTAAATTTTAATAGATAAATCTTGTCACTAATAAAGCAGAACATATTTATTGTGTAAAATTAAAAATAGATGCACATTGTGTTATTTTTACATTTTTCTCATCTGTTTTAATAATTTAACATTTAAGATCAACTAACAAAACAGTAATATTTAAAATTAACACATAAATGTGTTAAATATCTTGAAGAAAACAAATTTTTCTACTGTGTTGTCACGTTGTTGACAGTCGAATGCGCAGCACGTGAATTGCTATATCGGCCATCTGTCATCGGGCGGTTCGAACATGTCGTTGGCGTTTTATCGATGCGATTAAATAAAAATGATAAATATATATATGTATGTATATACCGATTGATGAACGACGTCGGCGTGGAGTAACCCAACTGAAGACGCGACCTGACGACCCTCTCCTGGACGGTCACCATCCTCGAGCTTCGCGAACTTTGGTGCACTCTGGTAGTACGTATTAGTTGATAACAGTGATGCTGGCTCTGGGGTGAACAGACCGTCACCCTGTCGCTGCGTGGCTCGATCATCGTGTTCGCGATGATCATCACTGTTCATCACGAGAATTCTCGCCGTTCTTCCGAGGAATCAGTCGCGAACTCATGATCGTCATCATTTTCTCACGTTCTCCACGTCGCGGTTTAACTCTCGATTCGCAAATAAGTTATAACGGCGGCATTCTTTGGTCGACTGGCAAGTGCCGAAGGAATCACGTTATATAGAGAGGATACACGTTCGATGGGTATCCAACGGATCTATAAATTCGATAAAAGCGGAGGACGACCCATTATATACCTGCGTCAATATTTGCGGCGCGCAAATCGAAGAGAATTTTCAATTTAAAAGCGCAATATTTTCGCCCATCAAATGTCAATACTTCACGGAAAAAAGAATTAGCTATACCATAGATAAATTTTAGCTGTCCATATATTACAACCTGAAATTTAGTTATCATGCATGCCTAAATTTTAGCTATGCACGGAGAGAATTTTCTCTTAGAATTTACCCTGAAAATCATGGACAATATGGTATTGGAAAAATTTTATAAGAATTTCTCTGATTAATATTTATTACAATAAAAAATATTAATGTGTACATAGTAAATTTTGATATGCACATAGTAAGTTTATTGTGGTAGATATTACTATTTTTATTGTGGTAAATATTAATATAATATTACCATGATTTTCAGGGTGAATTCTAAGAGAAAATTCTCTGTGTGGTAACTAATATTTTTTAACCATAGTTTAACGGAGAATGTTATAGCTAAAAAATATTAATTTCATGTGTAATGGACAGCTAAAATTTAGCTATGGTAGCTAATTTTTTTCCGTGTTAAGAAAAACGTGCGTCATGGTAAATTAATATGACAAATCTGAAATATCTATCTAATTTTGTTCTCGAGTTATATAATGTCGTAAAAGTTTAATAGGATAATTTGATATTTTAGCAAATATATATGTAGATGACATTTGTATAAATCGATCCTTATTAATGTAATAATTCAAATCTAAATTCGATTCCCGAGCATAGAGACGAGCTTAAATTTCACCTGAATTTAGCTTCAAAGTTGGACGTTAAGTAATTGGGTTAACTATTGCTGAGCTACTCTCTGGCGATCAATAGTGTCGTATTTTCACTCGTCCGTCTTTTCCGGTTGATTCATGGGCAATCGTTAAAACTTTCTAACGATATACTCTTAATTAATACATGCGTAACCACATATGTGTATCACAATGCGATATCTACGTACGATATATTCTCGTTGCTGTTAATGATTTCTCTTCAATGAAAGTATCATTATATATTTATACTTTCATGCAATATGCAAAATGCGTTATATGTAGATATACATAGTAATTTTTTTAATATTACAGTATTTGTCCATTCAAGTTTTCTATACGCATTCATTTCTATACTTTTTATACACCGAGAGAATTTTCTCTTAGAATTTACCCTGAAAATCATCTGTAATCGTGGGACAATAAGATATTGGAAGAATTTTACTATTTACCACAATAAAAAATATTAATATGTACATAGTAAAATTAATCGAACCTATCTTATTCTGTAGATATTAATATTTTCTAGTGTGATAAATATAATCAGAGAAACTCTAATAAAATTCTTCCAATACCATATTGTTCCATGATTACCACACTGAAAAAATTTATTAAATTCGAATAAATATTTATTTCAATACTGCCAAATAAATTATTTATTTGAAACAATATTGATGTGAAAATATTTATCTGATATGAGAAAATCCTTTTCAAAACAAAGAAATATTTATTTGTTTCAAAAAAATGATTTATTAGGCAGTATTGAAATAAATATTTATTATTTAGCCATTTATTTTAGTGCATAATTTTCAGAATAAATTCTAAGGAAAAAAATTCTCTGCGTAATAATATTGTACGATACTTGGAGGAAAAAACATAGATTCGAAATGTGGAGTGTAATAGAATAATATCGTTTGTATTATGAGCTCGATATTGTTATGGTAACAGAATTGATAAACAATCGATTTTAATAATCCATTTGTTGTTTGGTGTTTATCGAACTCGGCGAGTGCGAAGCAGATTTTGCGAAATCGAATGAAATAAATTTCCGGGAAATTAACGCGCGCAATTAGTTTATGTGCTTGGCGACGAATACCGTTTGGTTTGTCTCTTGCTGCTTCGTATCGGGGACGCACGTACGAAAAAGTCAAAGACAGCGAATAATAATGAGCACACAGAAATCTTTCGTGCACGAATGAGACCGCGTTCGCGAAACGTCTTTAAGGTTACATGTGTCATATTTCGAAGGTAATGACAAAATTATGATAACTCAACAAAATTATAGAAATTTTCACATTATGAGAATAACAATGTTATATATAGCAATCAAATTTTTTTTTTTTTTAAAAGTGCTTTAAGTGTTTAGAATGATTTATGCACATATTTGTAGCAATTCATAACTTAATCTCTTTTTTTTGTAAATAAATGAAATTGACTGGAATTTGAAATTATGCCTCTCTTCGCTGTAGAAATATATATTTTTTATATATTTATGATATCTATAATATATTTATATTATATTTGATATATTAATATTTTTTACATATATAGGGCATGTCCAAGATTTTCAAAAATATCCTCGAGAGTCCAATTATAATAATAAGAATCAATAGCAAACAATATTAAAATATACTATTAATTAAAAAACATGTTATTATAAATATAATTTTAATTCAGTCATTTTTTGCAGAGACTGTACAGTTCATACAATCTTAAATAATGTGATACAAAAATATTCTTGGTAATGCAATTTGCAACGATCCCTTTTTGCTTCTCGCTTTCGTACGGCAAAAAATTCTCATTTCCTGTTAAAGTCGCGGAAAAAAGAGTAAGCAAAATTGACGAAATATCGATTCAAAGAGAAGAAATGCGCGAGCAACTTTTTAATACACTTATCAAATTAATCCGAGAAGGCGGACGAGGTGATTTAAAACTCGCTGAACGCCGCGCATCGAATTAAATCGGCATTTTACGGAAGAGATCGATGACACTGCGCGCACTTTTCACATATTTATCGCGATTTAATTTCACGACAGACAGGCTCCGGCGAACAATGGGGCTCCTCCATACATCGAAAGCACATTTCCCCGATTGCGCAAAAGAGGAAAAAAAGAACAATAAAAATACCTCCAGGACGAGCCGGTGCGCGCGTTGATTCACGATCATCAACTACGCCCGTTCTGCTTTGCCGTTAGCTTCGATACCATAATGGAACTGTCAAAGTCGAATGAAAGGTGGGGCGGCCTCCCACCGGCGTACACATTGTTACGCTCGTCTCGATTCTCGATTCCGAGCTAACGCTCGGAAATACAGGTCAATTCACGCTTTGACCATCGTATAGCGCGCCATTATAATCCGGATAGATATAATAAATTTTTGAAAAATCTGCGTTAAGGGATGCTGACCATGACTGTTTCACCGACTTTGAGTTCAAGGACTTTTCTTTTTATTGGCTACACAGATTGAAAAATCCACAATTAAAATACTGATAATAATAAACGGGAAGCGCTGAATTTCGTATAAAAAAATAATAAAATTTAAAAAATTACAGTTTTTTTATCGACCTCTTGCATCAGCTCACAACAATACTTATTTAATATAAAAGTTCTGCAGTTTATTTGTGCATAAAATATGGTGCTCCCAAAAGAGATGACATGAAAGAATAATACAGAAGTAATAAAAATGAAATTAAAAGTCTGGAGGATTTTTCAATCTGTATATTCAATAAAAAGTAAACCTAACCTAACTTAAAGTCGGTAAAACAGAACTACGACAGCAACCCTTTAAGGGCATGCTGACCATAAATGTTTTACCAACTTTGAGTTGAAGGGCTTTTCTTTTTATTGGCTATACAGATTGAAAAATCCTTCTCCACAATTAAAGTACTGATAATAATAAACAGGGAGCGCTGAATTTCGTATAAAAAAAATAATAAAATTTAAAAAATTACAGTTTTTTAATCGGCTCATAACAATACTTATTTAATACAAAAGTTCTGCCGATTATTTGTGCATAAAATATGGTGCTCCCAAAAGAGATGGCAGAAGTGATAAAAATTAGATTAAAAGCCTGTATCAAAAGATTCGTGCTTGAATTAATTATGTATACCATATGTATATTTGCGTGCGGAATCGATGTCGAGACATAAAACAGCAAAAATTAGTTGTCGGACAGCGCTCCCCATTCATTATTATCAGTACTTTCATTGTGGAGGATTTTTCAATCTGTATATTCAATAAAAAGTGAACCTAACAAAGTAAAAGAAGAACAACAGCAGCATCCCCTTAAAATTCTTATTCCGTAGGATCAGGTCGTTGCACCGTCATGGGAGATTCATTTTAATGCGCGCCGAAAAAAGAGATCCGATCGATTTTCAACGCGCACAAAAGACATTTCCAATCACTATTATGCTTTCACATCGGGGTTTCAAATTTAACCCTTCGTGCTTAAATTTCGTGGGACAGAAATTTCGATAGGTTCACATCAAAAGCTCGAAAATATACGGACAGAATTTACGCGTAGAATTTATTCTGAAAACCATTGTATAATATGGTATTGGAAAAATTTTCTAAGAGTTCCTCTGATTAATATACCACAATAAAAATATCAAAATTTACATAGTAAAATTAATCGAACATATTTTATATCTTATTGTGGTAAATATTAATCAGAGCGAAATTCATAAAATTCTTCCTATACTATACTGTCTCATGATTACCATGATTTTCATAAATTCTAAGACAAAATTATCTCTGTATATGTATAATATATAATATAATTAATATATATTATAATATAATATAAAATTATATCTCTCATATCTAATATATGTATATGTATCATATATCTAAAAAATGTCAAAGAAAAAATTGAGAAAAATTGTTTCGCAGATGTCTCGTGCGTTGTCTAATTACAGAGTACTCGAGAGACAAATTCAGATAATAAAAAGAAGAGCAGAAGTAAAAGACAGATACGAAACAGAATGCAGTGCAAAAAGAAAATACGATATATATGTCGCGTCTGCATTTCTCGCATAATTTTTATAGGTCGCCGATACGTTTATATATGTACGTTCGACAAACCGATAGATTTATTCCTTTTTAAATCGCACCGCTGAACTGTGGATAGAAAAATAATGGCGCGTATACAGATACGTTCGCCTGTACTTTCACGTATGGTAATGTCGCGCGATGTGGATTTTGCGATGCAATACACGGTGACAGTTTCAACGAGTACGCGCGTTCCAGTTTTTTTAATTTTTGCACCATCTGGGCAAACTTCTGCGGGCTGTTGTTTCTCTCTCTTTCTCTTTTTCTCCCTTTCTGAGCCTATAAAAAACCCGCGTGCAAAATACACTCCACGTAACAGAGGAGAAATGAAAATATCCGCGATCTCTCAGCTGACGCATCTATTTTTAAAAGTTATGTCAGTCAAAGAAGTCCATTTGAGATTTTATTAAAAAATTCGAAATAATTTATGTTATACATTCGACTGTTTTTAATTATGTCAAGCCTCGAAATTCATGATAATTGTTTAATAATATGTCAAACCCTTTTTTACATAAAAATGATTATATCGAAATTCTCGAAGCCGCATCGTAAAGATGTATTTCAACTTCGTAGTCACTAATTATTCTCGAAAAAACATGTCGATAGAATCAATTCGACAAAATCGCTGATGTTGCTAATCATTCTATTTTTTTTTTTGCCATAATTCTTTTTAGCACCTCGAGTTTTCTTCGCACGCATGAGTAAAAAACGCGCGAGAAAAATAAAATTGAGCAAAGGTTCTGCATTTCGGAGCCGGCCTTGTCTCTCCTTCTCGCGGCGATGCAGATGATATAGGAACAAACACATTGAGATGCTCAATTCGCCTGTGGCAAAAGTAAAAGTTAACGATCAGGAGAAAGCTTCGGTCGAGCGTACACCTTCTGCCGGCTAGATGCGGGCGACTGTGAGAGACTGGTCTAGGCGAATCCGAGTGGCAAAGGTTAAGAGTGATTTCTGCTGTGAGACCATTCGCGAGCGAGCGAGTTGGCGAAAAGACATATATATATAATTGCTTAAGAACATAACATATAGATATGTACACTGAAAAAAAGTTATTAAATTAATAAATTTTTTATTTCAATACTGCCTAATAAATCATTTATTTCCAACTTTGAAAAGGATTTTCTTAAAACAAATATTTTTCACAGCAAATCAATATTATTAGTTTCAAATAAATGATTTAATAGACGGTATTGAAATAAATATTGAATTCGAATTCAATAAATTTTTTTGGAGTGTACATAATATATATTTTATTTAAAACATATAAAATATAACATATATAATAATATACAGAAAGAATTTTCTCTTAGAATTTACCCTGAAAATCATGGTAATCGTGGGACAATGTATTATACTAAAAGAATTTTATAAGAGTTTTTTATTGATCTCTGATTAATATTTATCACAATAAAAAATTAATAATCTATAGATATTAATACCTTTTTAATATTATTTTTTTATTATATTATAGTTATACCATAATAAGATATAAAACAGATTCGATTAATTTTACTATGTACATATTAATATTTTTTATCGTAGTAAATATTAATCAGAGGAAACTCTTATAAAATTCTTCCAATGCCGCATATTGTCATGATTATCATGATTTTCAAGGTAAATTTAAAGAGAAAATTCTCTCCGTATATATTATATACATGTAATATATAATATATGACGTATAATAATATATATATACATTATAAATAAAATATATAATATATATAATAAATATATGTTATGTTCCTAAGAAAATAATGAAAATAATTATATAATTATATATATATATATATATATATATATATATATATATATATATAAATAATGCATAACAGAAAATAAAATAATAAATAAAAATGAATAAAAAAATGTATAACAATATAAAATATGTATGTAAAGCTGAGCGAAAGCGACTTCGCGAAACGGGAATGAAAAGGATTCGCGACTTTTTTCTTGCATCAAGGATCCAAAAGTGGCACTCGAGCGGGTCACTAGGTTCGATTTCGCGAACCGGGCCATTTTTATCAATTTCAAGAGTCCTGTAACGGACTACATGTAATAACGGCGTTCACAGGTTTACTTCGGTGAAACGTCACACTCTAATAATAAGTTCGTCGGCATACTATCGGGTAATAAGTTGCGCGCACGCGAGTCACGAAAGCCGCGATATTATTCTCTTTTTTCCTATTCTCGTATTATATAGGTATCTACTTTTCTCGTTTCCTAATGACACGGTATTTCCGAGACCGGAGTGTGAGATAAATAGCGGGAAAACACTATACTCTATCTGTAACGTGGAGGTTGAGAGTGGATTTCCATGCAAGTGATGTAATACTGTGAAATTTGCACACTATTAAAACAAAACAAAAGTGTTTTTATATCCAGCTGTATGTATGTACACAAATATACTGCGCATTTAATTTTGTTCAAAGATTATCTTACTCATAAGTGCAGTAATCTAAATTTCAAATCTTTATGACGTAGCAGAAAAATATATAAATATACATATTCTTTTATTATTTATTCATATCTATATAAAATATTCTGAGAATAAAAAACATAAGAATAAATTCTTTTTTTCCCATTAGAGAAATATTTAACTTTATCATTTTAAATTTATATCTATATTAAAGTTTGACATTAAGAGAATGCTGACCATGACTGTCTTACCGACTTTGAGTTCAAGGGTTTTTCTTTTTATTGGCTATACAGATTGAAAAATCCTTCTCTATAATTAAAATATTGATAATAATGAACGGAGAGCGCTTAATTTCGTATAAAAAATAATAAAAGTTAAAAAACTACAGTTTTTTATCGGCCTCTTGCCTCAGCTCATGACAATACTTATTTAATACAAAAGTTCTGCAGTTTATTTGTGCACAAAATATGGCGCTCCCAATAGAGATGACATGAAAGAATAATGACATGACAGAAGTAATAAAAATGAGATTAAAAGTCTGGAGGATTTTTCAATCTGTATATTCAATAAAAAGTGAATCTAACCTTAACTTAAAGTCGGTGAAACAGAACAACGGCAGCATCCCCTTAAACGTATGCAAAATATTTCCGACCCATTATTAAATTTTTCACAATAGCACTGCTATGCAAACTATTTTTATAATCCACTAAATGTCGAGAGGTATTTTTATTCCTCCCGAGATCGAATAAATTTCATCTCACGCGGTGTCAATCAATAATACGCGAGATTTTTCTCACTCTCTCTCTCGTTCTCAAATTTTCAACACTCTCATCGAGAAAGCTTCGACATCGGCGCCTTTCCATATAAATGTACGTAGTTGATAAATTTTATTTGATTTT